CAAGTTCCCTGTAAGATTACGCCTCATTCTTCTAAATTCCAATGATTATATGCCCAAACTACTTGGGGGATTAAAAACACACCCAGATGTTTACTCTTGAAAGCTCCAGTAACTCGCCTGCTGGAAAGTGCATGTGAGGGCAAATTCAGACTGGCTGTGCAACCATTACAATTAGAGGATGTTGATGGTGCATCTTCAGGATCATATATGAGGGACAGTTACTTAATAATGAAGAAAAAGTACAAGAAAGGAAACGATTTTGAATGAGTAGAGTTACATATTCAAGTTTGCAAATGACACCCATGATGCACAGTTAATTGCATAGCTAAATTACCAAATGACATAGACATGATATTCAAATATTTTCTTTATTTGTGGGATTAGGAGTTGTGGAGGAACTAAACCGATCACTTAGGTTGAATCAAGACGTGAGCAAATTAGGCCTCGTTGTCCAAAACTTTGGTCAGTCCTTATCTGAACTTTGGTTGGTCCTTATCTGAACTTTAATGTTAATTCCTTGGTACTGCACCCAATAGCCTTGGATGACAAAGTGTATATTCACCAGAATCATACAAGGACTAAAAGCATGTCTTGCTGCAATTGTACAGGATCTTGGTGAAACCACACCTGGAGTATTATGTACCGTTATCTGAAGAACAATGTTCTGGCTATTGAGGGAGTGCAATATTGGTTATCAGACTGTGAATACTTGAAATGGCAGGACTGATGTATGAAGACAGACTAAATATAGTCCTAATTGATTCACACGAGTTTAGAAGAAAAGGATGGGGGGCAAATTTCACATAAAATTCTAAACAGGAGTAGACAGGGTAAACACAGGAAGGATGTTCCCGATGACTGGGGAGTCACAGCTGGAGTCAGAATCTAAGGATATGGTATATGCTTAGGACTGGCATGATAAATTTCTTGACTGAGGATGGAGAGCCTGTGGAATTCTCTGCCAAAGGAGGTGGTTGAGGCCAAAACATTGATATCTTAAAGATGTTCTTAAGGCTAATAGAGAGAAAGAAGGAACAGGGTACTGAGTTGGATGGTCAGCCACGATCATAATGAATGGTGGAGCAGGCTCAAAGGGCAGAATGGCCTACACTTGCTCCTATTGTCTGCTTCTAAGTTAAAATGTGCGGACAAGCTGCAGAAACAGGTTTTGGTCTCTCAAGCGTAGAAGATTGAAGATTAGATAGAGGTGCTCTTATTGACTTTGGGGTTGATATAGGAGTGGCTGCTTTCTCTGGTGGAGGTATCTGGAGCAACAGGCCACAATCAGAGGTAGGACACTTGGCAGTGAAATCTAGAAGCACTAAGAGCAGTGGATTGTGGAACTATTCCCTGAAGGACTGTGAATACTGAGTTTTTTTTTGTTTATGGGATGCGAGCTAGCTACGCCACAGTCAGAAGTCACACAACACCAGATTATAGTCCAACAGGTTTATTTGGAATCAGACAAGCTTTTGGAGTGTTGCCCTTCGTCAGGTGCAATGAGAGCACAGCACACAGACAGAGTTTCTAGGGAGAGAGATCAAGGGCAAAGAGATCAAAAGATCATACAACTGCTGAGAGTGGAGTGTCAGATGATAAGTCTCTGCAGGTGACCAAGAGCGTTAGACGATATGTAAAGTGTTTATAAAGTCGATGTCAGTGCTGTGCTGTTGTGACAATCAGGCAGAGTGATAGGAATATACTAAAGGTGACATCTCAGGTCAGATGTTGAATTGTAAGTGTGAGGCTTTGTTCAGAATCTGTCTCAGTTTTAACCTGGAATCAGGCTGATTTTATTCTGAAAGCTGGAACTTATAAGATGCCACACTGACTGTGAGAACAGACCAGTTGAGCCAGGAACATTTCTCGTCACAATGGATGTTTTGGCACTGTACCCCAGCATCCCCCATGAGGATGACCGCTGCAACAGCCTCAGAACTCAATACCAACAACTGCCAATTTCTAGATGCCTTCCTCCAACTCATCTGCTTCATCCTCAACCACAATGCCTTCACCTTCGACAACCAGTTCTTCACCCAGACACACGGAACAGCCATAGGGACCAAATTTGCACCCGAATATGCCAAGATTTTCATGCACATGTTTGAGCAAGAGTTCTTCATTGCGCAGGACCCCCTCCAACCAACATTATACACCAGCTGCACCAACATTTTCTTCTTTTGGCCTCATGGCGAGGAATCACTCAAACAACTATTTAGCGATATCAACAGGTTTCATCCCACCATCAGACTTACCATGGACTACTCTTCAGAATCAGTCTCAATCTTGGACACACGCGTCTCCATTAAGGTAGGACACCTCAATACCTCACCCTACAGAGAGAACCTCACAATGCTCCACTTCTCTAGATACCTCCCTAAATACATTAAAACAGCCATCCCCTACCAACAGGCCCTGTGCATACACAGGATCTGGTCAGATGAGGAAGAATGTGATGGATATCTGGAAGGTTTTGAAAGATGCCCTCATAAGAATGGGATCCAATACTTGACTCATCGATTGCCAATTCTCTCGTGCCACAGTGAAAAAGCGCAATGACCTCCTCCGATGACAGACACAGGACAAGGCCGATAGAGTACTCTTCGTTGTCCAGAACTTCCCCGGAGTGGAGAAATTACGCCATGTTCTTTGCAGCCTTCAACATGTCATCAATGACAATGAGCATCTCGCCAAGATCTTCCCCACACCTCCATTTCCTGCCTTCAAACAACCGTCAAACCTTTAATAGACCATTGTTTGCAGCAAGTTCCCAGCCTTCAGGACAATATCAACCACAACACCACACAACCCTGCTGTGGCAACCTCTGCAACACATGTCAGATTATCGACTTAAATAGTACCATGGCACGTGGGAACACCACCCACCACATTCACGGCAAATAGTCGTGATTTGGCCAATCTTATACGCTGCAGGCAAGGATGCCCTGAGGCATGGTATATTGGCGAGACTGTACAGATGCTACGACGATGGATGAATGGACACCCTGCAACAATCGCCAGACAGGGATGTTCCCTCCCAGTCAGGAACACTGCAACAGTCAAGGGCATTCAGCCCCCAATCTTTGGGTAAGTGTCCTCCAAGGCAGACTTTGAGATGAGCAACAATGCAGAATCACCGAGCAGAGACTGATAGCCAAATTTCGTACCTATGAAGACAGCCTCAACTGTGATCTTGGGTCCATGTCGCGCTGCAGGTGACCCCACCATATTGTTCTGGATCTGTAAAATCTTCCTTTCCTGTTTTAACAATTTCTCATGGTGATGCTGTCATGATCTCTCTACCTTAATTAGTTGTACAGTTTTGAATTACTTGTCACGCTCTTTCTCTCGCACGCACAAGCACGTGCTCTTTCGCTGTCTCCCCTGGGGTGAATCATTCATCCAAGATGTTTGTTTATTTGCAGACATATTGTGTTTTCAAAAAAACACACAATTTCCAGTCACATTCAGTCAGTGTGGCATTTTGTAAATTCCACCTTTCGGACTAAAACCACCTTGATTCCAGGTTAAAACTTTGAGACAGATTCTGAACAAAGCCTCACACCTATGTATATTCTTACCACTCTGCCTGATTGTCATGACAGCACAGCACTGACATTGACTTATTGTCTGACAATCCACCTACACCAGTTGTATAATCTTTTGATCTCTCTGCCTATAAACTCTTTCTGTGTGCCCTGTTCTCTCTGCACCTGATGAAGGGCTGCGCTCTGAAGGTTTTGTGACTCCAAATAAACCTGTTGGACTATAATCTGGTGTTGTGTGACTTCTGACTTTGTCCATCCAGTCCAACACCGGCACCTCCACATCATAGCTGGCTAGGCCAGTCTTTAATGCTCATCCTTAATTGTCCTGGAGAAGATGGTGACGAGCTGCCTTCTTGAATCACTGCAATCCTTGGGGTGCAGTGTCTTTCAGGAGTGAATTCTGGGATTCTGAAAGAGCAAAATCAGTAGATTTTTATTAAGGAATTTGGAGCAAAAGATAACTGAGGACAACATCAACCATGCAACCCTGCCACGGCAACTTCTGCAACACAGATAACTGGGTGGCACGGTGGCTCAGTGGTTACCTCTGCTGCCTCACAGAGACAGCCATTCAGGTCCCTTCAAGCTCGGGTAACTGTCTGTGTGGGGTTTGCACGTTCTCCCAGTGTCTGCATGGGTTTCCTCCTGGTGCTCCGGCTTCCTTCCACAGATCAAAGCTGTGCAGGCTCCGTGGATTGGCTATACTAAATTGCCCGTAGTATTCAGGGATGTGTAGATTAAGTGGGTTATAGGAGGATGGGTCTGGGTGGGATGCTGTGAGGGTGAGTGTGGACTTGTTGGGCCAAAGGGCCTGTTTCCACACTGTAGGGATTCGATGATCTATGGACTTGAGGTACAGAACAGCCATGTTGTCAGCAGTCACTTGCTAACGGGTATGATTTTACACCTAGGAAAATCTGTGTCATGGGTTGTGGGGTCCTTGTATGGCTGGTGAACTCTGTTGTGGAGCTGCATGTCTGACTACATATTTGGTCGGTGTTTCTGGGAAGTGGAATTGGTTTTTGGCCTTGATCACTGGCATTCCTTTCTCTGGTTCCTCTTCCGTATTTCTTCTTGCCAACGGATATTCTCCAAGAATTGCGTCCCTGAACATAGGAGCTTCCTCCAAGTCAGTTTCTTCTGAATGAGGGTATTCTATGTGTTGACATCTATGTTTTATTTCTGAGGGAAGCCTTCAGGGAGTCTTTGAATGATAAGTAAGGAGTTGTGCTGCAAATCAGCCATGGCTGAATGATAATAGCATAAGCTTGAAGGGACCTGAATGGCCTACTGTTGCTGTGTATTTTTGAGTGCAGAGCCTTTTCTGAATAGGTTGCTACTTTAAGGTGAAGGGGAAAGGTTAACAAATAACTTTGTTTTTTTCCCCCTCAATGCTATATTCTTAAACAAGCATGTATATTTTCTAATGTTGTTACGACTCCTCTCTTTCAGGATTTTATGATGCAACAGACAATGTTGAGAGTGAAAGATCCGAAAAAATCTCTGGATTTTTACACCAGAATCATTGGAATGACGTAAGAAAATTATTGAAAGAAATTGAGTAAATGGAGTAAAACCGTGAGTGATTGTAGAAATGGGAATAGAATCAGAAAGCATGGAATAGTCCATACGTTTGAAAACAATGGTGAAAATCAACCCTTGTTTCATAAGCATCTGTAAGTCAGCTCACTTTTTGGGCGACAAGCTTTCATTAATCGGATTCAGTGTAGCCAGTTTAGAACTGAAGTACTGTATTCACCTAATTTTCTCTTGAGGTTATTAACTGGACTGAATTACATTTCCAGTATCTTTGACTTTTGCTCTTTAGCTTGTTAACTCGGAAAACCTGTCTGTCTGTCTACGATCCGAGGCAGATGATTGGGAATGTTGGGGGTCAGTCATCTCAGCTCCAGGACATCTCTGCAGGAGTTCCTCAGGGTAAAGTCCTAGACCCAATCATCTTCAGCTGTTCATCAATAACCTCCCCTCCATCATAAGGTCAAAAGTGGTAATGTTTGCTAATGATTACTTGACATTCAGCACCATTCTCATCTCCTCAGATACTGAAGAAGTCAGTGTTCAAATGCAACAAGATCTGGACAATATCCAGAGGTGGGCTAACAAGTGGCAGGTAACATTTGTGCCACACAAATGCCAGGCAATAACTTTCTCCAATAGGAAATAATCTAACCACCCCACTTGATGTCAAATTGTGTTACCATCACTGAATCCCTCACTATTAGCATCCTGTATTTACCACTGACCAGAATCTCAACTGGACTTGCTATATAAACACTGGATACGAGAGCAGGTCAGAGCCTATGAATACTGTGGTGAGTAACTCACTTCCTGACATCCCATTCCTGTCCATTATCTTAAAGGTAAAAGTCAGCAGTGTGATCGAATGCTCCCTCTTGCCTGCATGGGTACAGCTTCAACAACACTCGAGAAGCTTGACACCATCCAGGACAAAGCAACCTGCTTGATTGGCACCAGCTCCACAAGCATTCACTCCTTCCACCACTGACACTCTTGGAATTTTCATCGCATTAAAGACGCTATATTTATACATGTTGTTTCTGTTATTCAGATAGATTCTGAAATCTTTGCAATTTCGTTTATTTTTGCATTTTTATTTAGTTTATCATATCATCTTGTAATCCATATTGCTTTTAAAATAAACAGAACACTACAAGTCCTTGGAACTTTCAGGTATCAGCAGCTGGGAAGATGCACTTTCAAAATAAGGATGGTTATAGAAAAACGCAAATTGATGCATTTATCTTTCATTTGCCGTCCAGTGTATGAAACAATGGATTTTCATTCCATTGCCTGGCCTGTTGACAGAGTTCCCTTCTCACATTCTTTGTCTCACTAATTACCTTGATTTTCCTCTTTACTGAAGCTACTTTGAAGTTCTTCAACTTTTTACAGACTTCTGCAGAAATTTGACTTCCCTGCTATGAAATTTACACTCTACTTTTTGGGTTATGAAGACAAAAAGGAAATTCCAGCTGATAAGAATGAGCACACAGCCTGGACTTTCTCAAGAAGAGCGACTATTGAGTTGACACAGTGAGTACAGCAATTCAGCTATGATTGTCCTGGTCCTGAGTGCTGAATATTACTGTGCTTTAATTCTGCTACAGGTAACATCCCATAAACTCAGCCTTGGCAAAGGCAAATTCAGTAAAATTGACTGTCTCACATGCAATTCTCGCAGCACAGAGAACTCAAGCTTTTAGCTGTAACAGAGAAAGGAATAACAGGCCAACATACCCTTATTAGGGTGTGGTGCTCACACCACTCCAAATGTGGTCTAATCAAGCTCTTATATAACTGCAGCATAATTTCTGGACTGTTCTGCACCAGTCCTCTAGATATAAAGGCTAGTATTCCAGTAGCTTTCTTGATTATTTCCTGTGATAGTAGGAACTGCAGATGCTGGAGCATCTGAGATAACAAGGTGTAAGAGCTGAAGAAGGGTCGAGGCCCGAAACGTCAGCTTTCCTGCTCCTCTGATGCTGTTTGGCCTACTGTGTTCATCCAGCTGTACACCTTGATTATTTCCTGTACCTGTTCATAACTTTTTTAAATTTGTGTCCCCCAAACCCCCCCCCCCCAAGTTTCTTTAGATATCCATTGTGTTTAACTTCATACCATCTAGAAAGTACACTGAAAGTACTCTCTCTGTCCAAAATGGATGACCTCACAGTTGCTTACATTGAACTGTGCCACTGTTTGTCCATTCAGTTAGTCTATCAATATCCCTTTGTAATTTTATACTATACATACATTAATATAACATAACATTTCTTGCACATAGACTTTCCTACTCTTAGGCTCCAGTCCCCCTGAAATAACTGAAACCATTCCATTAATCTTACTGATTACGTCCTGCACCTCATTGTGTCATAGAAAATAGAAACAGGCCTTTCAGTCTACTGTGTTTATGCTGACCAACAAACACCAAACTACTCTGAATCCATTTAACTGCATTTGGTCCGTAGCCTGCTATGCTCTGGCATCTGAAGTGCTCATCCAGATGCTTAATTGTTGCAAGAGAACCTGGTGCCACCATTCTCTGTTGGCATGCACCATATTTGTAACACGCTGGGTTTAAAAAAAAATTTGAGAGCTTGCCTAAACCTCTTACTCCTCACCTTAAACTTATGCCGTTTGCTCTTAGACATGTTTAGCATGGGGAAAAGATCCTCAAGATCTGCTGTGTATGCATCTCAATTTTGTATACCTCAATCATATCCCCCCCTTGGCCTTGCTGTTGCAAGGAAAACAAATCCACCCTATCCAGTTTCTCCTTATACCTGAGACTTTTCATCCCAGGAAACATCCTGGTCAATCTCCTCTGCACCCTGTCCAGTGCGATTACATCCTTCCAGTAGTGTGGTGACTAGAACTGCACATAGTATACCAGCTGTAGCCTAACCAATGTTACATAAGGTTAGGGTTAACTAGACTTCCTTCCTCATATTTTACGTCCTGGCTAATAAAGGCAAATATCTTGTGGCTGCCTTCACTGTCCTGTGTCCATGCTGACACCTTCAGGGATCTGCGGACTGGTACACCAAGGTCCCTTTGTTCTTCAGTACTCCCTAGGGACCTACCATTCATTCTATATGTTCTTCTCTTATTAGACCACCCAAAATGCATTTTCTTACACTTATTGGGATTAAATTTCATCTGCCATTGTTTTACCCATTCACCAGCTAATTAATATCCTGAGACCATCATCCTCAGTAATCAACAATGGCACCAATTTTCCAACCTGAAGAAGAACTCCTTATCCCCACTCAATGTTTCGTGCCCATTAGTCAATTCTGTGTCTGTGCCAATATGCTATCTCCAACTTTGTGGGCTCTTATGACTTAACCTTTTGTGAGGTACCTTTTGAAAGCCAATGCCTTATTAGAAGTCCAAATACAATACATCTATTGGTTCCCCTCTATCCACTCTGGTTGAGACTTCCTCAAAGAAAGCTCCATTTAATCCAACACAAATTTCTCTTTCATGAAGCCATGCTGAGTCACTTGATTAGATTACGATTTTCCAAATGTTCTGTTATTACTTAATTGATTCCAAAACTTTTCCAACAATAGGTGTTAGGATAATAGGGGAGGCAATAGCCTAGTGGTATTATCGCTGGACTGTTAATCCAGAGACCCAGATAACGTTCTGGGAACCCAGGTTCGATTCCCGCCACGGCAGATGGTGGAATTTGAATTCAATAAATATCTGGAATTAAGAACCTAATGATGACCATGAATCCACTGTCGATTGTTGGAAACACCCATCTGGGTTCACTAATATCCTTTAGGGAAGGAAACCGCCATCCTTACCTGGTCTGGCCTACATGTGACTCCAGACCACAGCAATGTGGTTGACTCTTAACTGCCCTCAGGGGCAATTAGGGATGGGCAGTAAATGCTGCCTTGCCAGCGACGCCCTCATCCCATGAGTGAATTTTTTAAAAAATTGACATATAATTTACCTACTTTTTGCCTCCCTCCCTTTTTGAATAGGCACTTTGGCAATTTTCCATTCCTCTGGTACTTCGCTAGAATCCAAGAATTTTTGGAAAATTAGAACCAATGCATTCAGGGATCAAGCCACCAGAGCCAGGGACTCAGGAAGGGTCACCGGACCCAAAACGTTAACTCTGATTTTTCTTCACAGATGCTGCCAGATCCTCTGATCTTTTCCAGCAACTTCTGTTTTTGTTCCAGGAACTTATCTTTCTTTAGCCTCATTAGTTTGTCTAATACAACTTGTTCAGTGATCGTGATGGTGATGGTACTTAATTCCTCCCCTCTGTATTCTTTAGTATTAGCAAATATAACCCTTTATTCAATAGGTTCCGGATGCATAAAACAAGAAACAATAGGCCAGTAAGCTGTATGACGTGCATGAACAATTGTAGGTGTTCGAATCGATTGTTAAACAGGTTATAGCTGCATACCTTAAAAAAACGTCAATGAAAAGAGTCTTTGTGGCTTTATTAAAAGGAAATCATGTTTAAACAATTTATTAGAGTTCTTTGAAGGAGTAACATCCACTGTGGATAAAGGAAAATAAGCAGATGTGATTAGAAACCAGACTTAACATTGGGTCCTAAGCATCTTCATTAAAAGTAGAATTTTCTGGCAAAATTCTGTTTTTTGTATCAGATGTCAAGCATCCACCGTTCTTTATTTGACTTAAGCAAGTAGACTTGCTTAGAGTTCCAAAAGTTATTGATAAGGTGCCATATCAAAGGTTAATGCCCAAAATAAAAGTTAATTATGTATGGGTAATGTATTAGCATAGATATAAGTGGAGTATGAGCATGGTAGCTAAATTCAGAAGTCAATAAGATAGGTAGGAAAGTATTTCAGATATAGTAGGAACTGCAGATGCTGGAGGATCTGAGATAACAAGGTGTAGAGCTGGATGAACACAGCAGGCCAAGCAGCATCAGAGGAACAGGAAGGCTGACGTTTCGGGCCTGGACCCTTCTTCAGAAATGGGGGAGGGGAAGGGGTTTCTGAAATAAATAGGGAGAGAGGGGGAGGCGGATAGAAGAGAAGATAGGTGGAGAGGAGACACAGGTCAAAGAGGCAGGGATGGA